GGTTTCAATAAGGTTAACATAAATGGTTGGTGAGTCCGTAACCAGGGGACACAATATAAAATAATGACTAGGAGATCTGAAATGAGAATTTAGTAGGAACTATTCATGCAGTGAGATTGGGGAACTTGGAGCTTGAATCAGTTAGTATAGATGCATTCAAGAAGAAGCTGTACTTTCACATGAAGGAGATGGGAATAGAAAGGTATGGGAGGGAGTAGGAATGGGTGAAGACTTGTGTGGAGTATAAACATCGGCATGGACTGGTTGGGCTGAGTAGCCAGTTTCCGTGCTGTACATTCGTTGTACTTTGTACTATGGCTGAGATACCAAGAGATACTCACTTTTATTTTCGAATAGTGTCATGGAATCTTTAAGGCTCATCTTAACAAGCAGATTATACCTTAGTTTAACATTTTATTTAAAGGCTGGCTGCTCACACAAAAAAACATGAGAAGAATACCTATTTGAAAGGTTCTTTATTGTTGCTGAGTTTAAGATTTTGGCAAGGTCCTGGAAGACTGTAGGCACCTGTTCAGCATTACCTCACCATGACTCACTGTTTCAGAAAAGGAATGAAAATCGGGAGAAAAGGCAGCTTGCTATACATTTTCAATGCTAAGGTTGGTATTCAGAACAATTATATTCTGTTTACTAGATTTCATTACAGATCATTTTACTTTCCAGTCACAAATATTTGAACAGTAGAGGGCAGGTGTGAGTAATGCACCACAACAAGCAAATCATTTTAACAAGATAGTACTCCAGCTGAGTGTCTTACTATTGTTTCACAATAATTGTTTCCATCTATAATAATTCTTCACAGTTTGCCAGGAACATAAATCATAACAGAGATTTGCTTATACACTGCAGACTCACATGGATGAAGCTATTTTGTTGCTTTAATTTACTATACTAGATTTCTTTTTTATTTATCAGGTGTTTTCCAAATTAAATAAAAAAATTATATTATAATGTCAAATAAATGCAGTTATGTAGTTCAGCTAAACTATAATCATCAACTGCAACTTTTACAATCACAATAAAAAATGATCGCTTTCAAAGACACATTTTGAAATCAGTTCATTTCAAAAAGCTCAAAGAATTCAGGATAACTGCTGTGCGCAATTAGCTGTCGAGTTTCGCCCACAAAATATAGTCAATGCACTTTACAGTATATTCTGTGAAGTGCTTTTAGACATCTCGAAGACGTGATAAGGCGCTATATCAAATGCGAGGATTATTATAACACAATTATGAGTACAGGATAAGTAGTGTTTGATTATTTTAAAATAATAATTATCCTTCCATTTGATATAGCACCTTATCAGGTCGAGACATCCCAAAGCACTTCACAAGATACAGTATAAAGTGGATTGACCATGTATTTTTTGGATAAAACCCAAGAATATCTGTAAGAAAAAATAGTGTTCATAGTTGTAACTCCAGTTTATCATCATAAATTTTTGACCAATTGAGACCAAAACAGACTGGAGGAACACAAACAAAGTCATTGAAATTTACATGCTGTACATTAGCGTAGAATATTTTAAATGTCCTTCTGGAGACAATAGAGCTGAATTGTTTCCTCATATTCAGTGTGGGATAATTATGCAATAAAGAATGACAAGGAATATGTGTTTCAGGGATGTTAGCGGACTTGTGATTGACATGGTGTTAAGTGGGCTGTTAACACTCTTGATATTTATATTTCTTAGGGTTCACTGGATAACTGTCTCTTCATAATTTAACATGCCAAAGACCTAAAGGCTGGAATGCTCTCAGCTGGATAAATAGCAGGAAGATTCCGAGTGCTCTTTAATAGTAAGCTGTATGGTTTAAGCTGGTTAAACCAGCAGTGTCAAAAAGCACACTCTAGAGTTCCAAAGTCTTGGCTCTTGCATCTAAATTCTCCAGGGTATGGTAAGCAGCATGTAGCCCAATCGAGAAAGAGTGTGCACTCCTTCCCAATAGCTGTCATGCCTACGTGAGACTTATAGTAGTTTGGTTTGGCGACTCTTAAATATGGTAATGTCAGCAACCCAACTGACAAAAAAAAACCTCTTCCTAGTATTTTATAATTATTTTTCAATTAAAATAAATAAATGAATGAGCTGGATTTTAACCGTTGAGCTGTTACCTAAAATTGCTGATCTTGGGCCTTTTAAGTAAAGAATTTTATGTTTGAGTTCCCAGGACTTGGACGGTCATTCAAACTTATTTAATTCTGTCTATCAAGGAGTACGTTAGAACACTCCAGCATCCTACTTGAATCTAGAGCAAACTGATATGGTGAAGGTCTTCTCTTTCCTGGCTGTTTGTGAAATGCATTTAAGTAATTTTAACAAAGATCTTAGTGGACAGCACAAATACTTTTTCAACCTCATTTTCCAAACTCACCTCACTTGAAGTGGCCAAAAATGGCTTGTATTTCGGAAATAGAAGTATCACACTGGCCCAGTAGGAGAGGGTGTTTTGTGGTTGGGATAAAGTACAGGGAGCTTTACCCTTCTCCTGATTGTGCGATACCAGAATTGCGAGGCCTTGAAGCTAACAGTGTTCTGAAAGGAGAAAAACAGTTCCGTTCCTCAGGACTAATAACCCTTAACTTAGTAGGAACAAAACATTATCAAGTTAAAACTCGACATATTAATATATTGCTATCAGGTTTTATTGACTATTATCAAGTTTTATTTAAGTTTTACGAAGTAGTTTGTACCTTGAATTAGTACCACAACTTTTACTTCACTATCCCTATGTTTTTACTGTGTTCCTGCAATGTCATATAAGAGGAACTAAGGATATTATTTTAAGATTATGAAACTGAACCATTTTTCTAACAGGTTTATTCAGCAGGAGGAAAGAAAAAAATTTGATGAAAAATAATAGTTTTACGCTTAGAGACATGAGCCCTGTATATATGGGATCACAGTGCCATGACTCGTTCTGCCTTTCAGGGTCTTGGGATGTCCTCCTGACATGAAAGGTGCAATACAAATGTAATTTTGTTGTTGTTGTTGTTGCCTTCCCCCACCTTAGCAACATCGCCTGGCTCCGCCATTGCTTCTCTCCTCAGGCCGCCAAGACCCTCATCCATTAATTAGTTACATCTAGGCTCCACTACTCCAATTCCCTGCTTGTCGGCCTTCCCAACTCTTCCTTCCACAAGCTGCAGATCATTCAGAACTCTGCGGCTCGATTCCTCTCCCGCACCAGGCTCTGTGACTCTATCACCTCACCTGGATCCAATGGCTCTTTATCCCCCAGTGGATAGAGTTCAAAATCCTCGTACTCTCCCTCAAAGCCCTTTACTGCCTTGCTCCTTTCAACCTCTGGGATCTGCAAAGGCCATATTGACCTGTCCGCTCCCTCCGTTCAGCAGGTTCTCCAGTGCCTTGGGACGTCCTCCCGACGTGAAAGGTGCTATACAAATGTAATTTATTTGTTTACATGATCCACAGTTGTCATTTGTTGCGTTTGTGTTGACAACAAATAATTGTGTACTACATTATTTATAATAAAGTATTTGGCTGTTTAAATGTTCATCATATTCTCTTAAATAAACTAATTTTCTACTTGTTTTCATCTGTCAATATCAATATTATAAACTGCCAGCTAACCAACAGATTAGTTATTATGCTTTCAACTGATTTCATCAATATGAAATTAATGTAACAATGTGCAAATATTTTTCGGAAATATAATGGAGGGGTGGGGGTCTGATGTTTTGTGAGCCTGATATTTCAGGCAGCTTAGTATTCATTTAATCAAATCCAATAGATTGCAACTCTCCTACTGTTTTTTTAGAGCTGAATTAATAGATAGACAATTGGGAAGTATTTGGAATGATTCAAACAGTGAAAAATCAATATAAATAAGGATTTCCTACTTATGCATGTCTGAGCTTCAGACGTGGAAAATAATGGTGGATCTTGTAACACTGAGTGAAATTCATACAACACTATCAGTTTGGGAAATATACTAATACTTCTTTTAAATAACTTCTTTAAGTATGGGGCTGCAATTGAGATATATCAATCTCATCTCCAGTGACCACTTGTTTTCTGTCTTATTGGAGCAATTGGCTGTTACTGAAGGCGGTTTATCTTAAATTGGCAGGAGGTAACTTGATCCCAGGCCCATGATAATGACATTCCCATCAAAAACCTCTAAAAAGTACATGACAGTTATCCAAGATAATTGTGCCTCCCTCCATCTTTGTCGTTCATCTCCTTTATCAAATGTTAGACCTTCATTCTGCACTTCCAATTATTGCAAAATCTTGGTTGAAATCGGTAACTTGTTTAGTGCAGAAGTAAATCACATACTACTGTTGCATAGCATTATACTGTATGTTGGAGCATTAAAATAATAATAATTTTTGCATTTGATATATAGGGCCTGATCATGTCTTCGAGATGTCTCAGAGTGCTTCACAGAATATACTGTAAAGTGAATTTATTTTGTATATTTTGTGGGCGAAACAAGGCAGTCAATTGCACACAGCAGTGTCCCACAAACAGTCGTGGGTTGAGTGACCGAATTATTATTATTATTTTTTGAAGGGATTATTACCCCCGGAAAAGCAATCCACTAATTGACTAACTGTCGGGTTCCTATTTACTGCTAGCTAAACAGAGGCACGTGGAGTAAGGAAAGTTGCCCAACGTTTCGCACTGCCTGGGAATCAAACCCAGGTTCACTCGCTTGCTGAGGCGAGTGTTCTAACCCCTAAGCTACAGGACTCCACGATTGCTATACGATCTGCTTTTTAAAATGAAAAATAAACCATATCTTATTTTTCTATTGTGTAATCCAGCAAAAACAATTAAAATATCACAATATTATATAGTCTCTATTACAGTATTTGTTGCTTACCAACTCAGTATTAGAGAGTCCAGCATGTCAATTGACATTGAATGGATGCAGTCTTAGATTTTCAACAAACATTTTTATTGTAAAATAACTTGTTTTTTCAACATTATGAATTTGTGCTTTTGCAGCACCGAACCAGTGGAAAATGTTTCCATAAAAGAGGAGAAGATTGGAGTTATAGAAAAAGACAGTAAAAACTTATATAAGGTGAGGATATTCAGAATGTTTTGCATGGCATATTTGGAGAAGATACAGAAAAGTAAAATATTTACTTTTAAAAATTTAGATTTTTTTTGATGAAATGTTAAGACTTTTTCCTCCTTTTCTAACATAGTAAGGACACCATTGCCATATCTAACAATGGTAGCCTATTAATGATGTGAAACCTTCAGAAACTAATTGTTTAAATGAAACTCAATTTGAAGTGAAAAACCTGAAAGCGTGGAGTCCTGTAGCTCAGTGGTTAGAGCACTCGCTTTGCAAGTGAGAGACCTGAGTTCAATTCCAGGCAGAGGGCGAAACCTTGGGCAAGTTTCCTTACTCCACACGCCTAATAATAATCCCTCCAAAACAAAAAACAATAATAAATTGGTCATTTTCAATCTACGACTGTTTGTGGGACATTGCTGTGCGCAATTGGCTGCCGCGTTCGCCCACAAATATATAGTCAATTCACTTTACAGTGTGTTCTGTGAAGCGCTTTGGGATGTCCTCCCGACGTGAAAAGCGCTATATCAAATGCAAGGATTATTATTATTATATCTAAATTTATCCCTTAATATAAAAAAAACTCTAAAAGGTAATAATGGTCTTCAAACTTTCCCCACTTGAAACCATTTCTCTACCTTAATTCATTTGAAATGCTAACCTTATTTTTATGCCAAAGCCTCATTTGAACAATGATGATAAATTGTGTTGGCTAGATAAGAATGTCAAAAAAAAACTTGTTCTTTGTACCACCATAACAAAAAGGTAATGCGATGTAAATGTTGCAGCATTGGTTGGAATTTTTCCTCAGGAGTATCCTAGTATGTCAAGTTTCCCCATCCCTCTTGTGAAAATGGTTATTGACCTATTTTAATCCAGCAATAGTATCATAGAATCATACAGCACAAAAAGAGGCCATTCGGCCCATCGAGTTTGTGCCGACTCTTTGAATAGAGCAATTAATGTCATTCCCACTCCCCAGCCCTTTCCCCATAACTCTGCAAACCCGTCCTCCTCAAATACCCGTCCACCGCGTTTTTAAAAGTTATTATCAAATCGGTCTCCACCACCCTTTCAGGCAATACGTTCCAGATTTGAACAACTCACTGTGTGAAAAAAATTCTTCTCACCTCCTCTCTGCTTCTTTTAGAGACTCTTGAATCTGTGACCTCGAGTCACCGACACACCCACCAATGGAAACAGTTTTTCCCTTTCTAACCTATCAAATCCCCTCATGATTTTGAAGACCTCTATTAAGTCTCTTTTCAACCTTCTCTGCTCCAATGAGAATAATCCTCGCCTCTCTAGCCTTTCCTCATAATCAAGGTCCCTCATTCCTGGTACCATCCTCGTAAATCTCCTTTGCACCCTTTCCAAAGCCTTAACATCCTTTCGATAGTGTGGTGTCCAGAACTGGGCGCAGTATTCTAACTGAGGCCTAACCAGTGTTTTATATTGGTTAATCATAACCTCCTGACTCTTGTACTTTATGCCTCTATTTATAAAGCCTAGTATCCCATGTGCCCTTTTTTACAGCTTTATCTACCTGTCCTGCCACCTTCAAGGATTCATTTACCTGCACCCCCAGGTCTCTCTGTTCTTTCACCCCACTTAAGATTGTATTACCAGCCTATGTTGCCTCCCCTCATTCTTTCTACCAAAATGCATTACCATTTCTACACATTGAAACTCATCTGCCATGTGTCTACCCATTTTACCATTCTGTCTATGTCTTCCTGTAGTAGGCTACTATCTTTCTCACTGTTTACTATCCTACCTATGAGTATGAAAAATGTGAAATCTATAAGCAAATCTCTCAAATGCAACTTTCACACAACTAATAATTATAAGTTTAGAAATAAGATACAGTTGTTATCTCTTAGAATTAATTCATCTTTGCCATTGACAGGGAGACGACAGGGCACTATAAACACATTAAGACATTTTACACTTTTACTTGAATTAATGCATTTTTGATGAAGCAATAAGAAGTAATACAAAGAAAACTAAGATAGGCTGTCAGTAATTATTGCTCGAAAATAAACAATAATTATCATTAAACGAAATAAAATTAAAGAGCAAGCCATCAAAGCTGCTTTTTTCCCCTTCTCTCTTCCCTCCCCCTGAACATTTTATCTTATTATTCGCTGCACAACACAATTTCAGGGCCTATTGATCAGATTTGAACATATGTTTAAGCTATTGCTAGCCTGTGGCGACTGTAACATTTGCACTAAAACTGGTGACATTTTAATGGATAATGCTGGATTTGCCTAACAAGCAACCATTAATGGTACACTTTTAATGTTCTGACGAAAGTAAGGTATTGATTCTGGCCCCCTGGCTTTTAGCACCACCACTGGTATTTTTTGCTGCCTGGCATGTTCATGCAAAATTCATAGACATGTGTTGGTTTAAGAAAAAAATCATCTTTGACCTAAAAATATACATGAAAGGTGAACTTTGTCGTGACCAAAAATTGAGTATTTGACAATTGCAGGATTTCAGTATCCATTTTTATTTGGCCTCTTTCATTGTAAAATCAATAATCATGTAAATATTAAGACAACACCAATCTATTTTACAATGGGGGGGGGGGTGCGGGGGTGGGGGCTTAAGAGCCTCATCTCATGAGACATCTAGAAGACGTGAAAAGCGCTATATCAAATGCAAGAATTATTACTATTATTATTACAAATTCAAAGGAAGAATTCTAAGAAAAAGGAAATGTACATTCATTGTATATGTTATTTGAAATACAGCTGAAAGACTCAAAGCTACTGCTGCAAACTCCTGATGAAAAGTTAGCGAGGCATCTCAATAAGCAGTTTTATCAAGAAGAAAGGAATTATGGAATAGTCACGACAAAGAGCAGGAGGTTCACTGAGCATCCAATCCTGACCACCTACAGGCAGCATGCAGTAAGAACAAATTGCTTTCAGAATATAAATTTTAAATCATTTGTTTATGTGATGTATGCAATGGATTGATCATGAATTTATGCAGTGCTATATACCTTAGAATAGGTAGTATGTAGGTGCATATTATATGAAAAAAGATCTGGTTTTTGAGTAATGGAGTAATTATTTTGATGCTATCAATTGTTCTATTTTTCCTTATATGAAATTATATGAACATGAGTTATATTTGATTATATGATAATATTTTGCAAAAATAGAAATTTTTTTTTTTGGTAAAGATATATTATATTGTGCAATACAATATGAATTTCCATGCCATTAATAACTGTTGTAGTTGGCTTCATGTGTTACACGTATTGGGTGTCAATCTGCCTTGGTATTCAGTGCTGCTATTTATGGCATGTTTACTATACGTACATATTATTTTGTACATATTATTACATGATTTATTTCTGAGCCATCAATTTGATTCAGTAATTTTACACATTGTGCAGATGGGAATACAATTTCAACTAATTAAACATGTTAATTCTTTGACTATTTGACAAGTTGATACAAGCACTAATAGCGTGCTGTCCTGATAATTGCAGTGCGCGCCCACAGCATCTGGGTGAGGAGATGTGATTCAGTAGCATTCGCATCAAGAATATAGGTATATTCATTCTTCGTTCAGAAAAGCACATTGTGCTGGTACAGTGAGTTTTTATTACTATGATGGCGATCACCTATATTTACTAACCTTAAATAACCAATCAATCGGCACTGTATGAAAAAAGTTTTCTCTGCCCAAAACATTCATTGCATTTTAAAAATAACTTCTTAACTCCTTGAATCCTTTTGCAACTCTAGTCCACTCCAGGAAGATGCATACCTTATGCAGCCATAAATTCGAATACATCATAGCAGTTCCTGAACACCCTCATTATCTATTAAAATAACCTGAGCTAACCACTAAAATAATGCATATATTCTGAAACTGCACTAAATAAAATCAATCTGTGCCAGGATATATTTTCGGAAGTTTAGTTATGTTTTGTGAAATGTATGTTTCTTTATATTTAGTTTAATTGAATTTTCTACTTAAATAGTTCAACATGTTGTGGTAGAAGGATGGAAAATTGAAGTTTTATCTAGAGTCTACAAAGATCTACAAAGGGTTTAGGATTTAGCTGCATAATGAATTTGTTTTGTAAATTCCTATACAAATTTTAACACATACCTGTACTATATCATAAAGCACTCTGGGGAACAACCTTCATGTCACGTTAATGTGACTTATCCCACAATTACCTCCTACTGTTGACATGATGTATATCTTAAATTACTGGTGCATTTACTGGAGACAGAGATTGATTGGAATGAAGAAAGAACATAATTGCTGTACTGAGGAATAATGAACTAACAGGTACATATTATTGATGCATGATACACATAACAACTGATATGATTGTCTACTCCAGAAAGGCATTATGATGTTCAGGTGAGACCTGAGGCACATATCAAAATTCAAAATAACCTGAATTTAGGAAATTGAGAATTGAGAAATTTATCTGAATTCTGAGATTGAATATCTTTTTGAAGAGATTGAAGAGCCTGCCCTCCCTCCAATATTTATTCTTTTTGATGAATGAAGACTTTTGTGCCGTAGTTAAGTAGTATTATTTTTAAAAGATATTAAAACAAGTTTTACAGAACTTTTGCTGCGTTTATTACTGTATTGCGAAACAAAATCCATTTTTCTCTCACAATGAAGAGGAATGTATTTACTATGCCTTTGAAATCAGAATATAGTGTACAATTATGTACCATGTGTAATATGATTTATATAATAGTTAATATGCTTTAGTATAAGGCATTCCATGGATATATTTCACACCAGTAAAGCTCCATAGGAGAAAACGAAGAACAGATGGTCAATGTTGGAGATGACTAACCAAGAAGAATGCTCTTCTTCACATGCTGTGGGAATGTCAAGGAATCACAGTTTATTGGAGGAATGTGATACCATACATAAAATACATGTTAAATATTAGTGTAGAATTTAAAGCACATATCAGGAGTGGAAAATTACAATCACTAACCAACTATTAGGACTTTGCATTTTAGCTGAAGCAAACTTGAGAAAATAACCACAATCATTATAATAATTACATTTGCACAACATCTTTCGCGTCAGGAGGAGGTCTCAAAACTCTTGATATGATATACTGTGAACAACAAATTCCATTTAGAGAAGAGAAGTGACTGTGTTTTGTGGGCGATGGCATCAAGTTGCATCCATCAATTACCCACAGACAAATAAGCAGTCCGTTAGAACACTCACCTCGCAAGCGAGAGCCCTGGGCTCGATTTCCAACAGGGCTAAACCTTGGGCAAGTTTCCTTACTCCACTCGCCTGATAATAATCCCTCAAGAAAAAAAACACAATAATTTGGTCACTCAATCCACAACTGTTTGTGGGACACTACTATGTGCAATTGGCTGCTGCGTTTCACCCACAAAATATACAGTCAATTCACTTTACAAAATATTCTGTGAAGTGCTTTGAGACGTCGAGAAGACGTGAAAAGCACTATATCAAATGCAAGAATTATTATTATTATTACTAAGTGAATTACCTATTTTATTTGAAGATACTGGCCCCAACCACCCTTCCTGATAACCTCCTCCAGTCGTTAAATACTCTCTGAAAAACTTTCTGGTATCTGTACTGACACTGTCATTTACAACTTAAATCTATATCATAAGGTATTGTTCCGGGTTTATGAAATGGATGCCATTCTTGTTATTCTCCTTAAAATCATGGTTTATTTAATAATGTTTTGAGAGTAAAACTTTGGCCTCTCCCCAAAGGGTTATTACAAAATAAAATAGACTATTTAGATCAGCTATATAGAAAGAGATATGGCAAATCCAAGTTTTAATTTTGACTAATTTCTCTAAATATTTAGTCTAATTGCATTTGGCACTAAATTATGCATAAAGGTGAAATAATTAATCATGTAGGGTTTTGAATTACAACATCTAATAGATCTATGGCATAAATAAATTAATTAAAATTGCCTCTTATAAGCTTTTATCCTTAGTTTCTTAAATAACCAAAGACAACAATTTGTTTCTTAAAGATATCTAAAAAAATTGTTAAATTAAATGGTATGTTTAATATGCATTAATAATACCTCTTTATATAGCAGAAGAATGTCTCAAAGTGCTTCACAAGATTTAGTGTAAAGTGTAGTGAATGTATATTTTGTAGGCAAATGTGGCAGCCAATTTGTGCACAGCAATGTCCTAATGCCCTGAAATGAGTGTTCAGGTGGACGTTAAAGATCCCATGGCATGATTCAAAAAGAGAAGGCGGTTTCTCCCAGAGTCTGGCCAACAAATCCCCCAAATAAAATTGGTCACCCACTCCATGACTGTTTGTGGGACATTGCTGTGTGCAAAACTGGCTGCCATATTATTATTATTATTATAAATGAGGAAGGGTAAGTGTCCTATGTACACATTTTTCTGTTCCTAAATATTGGCAATGCAGTCAAACCTGTTCGAGCAACTACAACAACAACAACAACAAGATTTCATTTATCGAGCGCCTTTCACGTCGGAAGGACGTCCCACCACCTCCATTCAGCAGCCTCACAATGTCGACAATAACCCTGAAAGTCTGGACAGACTTTACATAATAAACCAACTGTATTCAGCAACCACACGTCTAACACAACCAGTAGCCACTCTTTATTTGTCCTCTTACACCACGTGCCTTGTACCAACCGATACCCTTTCAGAGGACAAGCTTTCTGAGAAATACAGTCAAAAAATAGTGAGCGCTCACCAGAAAACAATTTTGGACTTTTTCAGCAAACAGTAATGATTTATTGTGATTATAATTTAATTTGCAATAATTTTAAACTTTAATTTATTAATTTATTAAATATAATTTAATGTATGGGTTCATATGTGTACTGTATTTTTCTATACACTTAGAAATTCTACACACACCAACGAACCCTTACTCAGAGGACTTTATATAAGAGTAGCAGATTTGACGATATTTTGATCTGAAGATTGTATACAACTGGAGGTTGGAAGATCTAGCAGGTGATTCCCACTTGCCTGACATCTTGCACACTGCCTTGTATTGCAATAGGCACAGAAATTGGTGAGATCCAAACTGGTAGTTTAAAATCAAATGCTGAAAGAAGGACTGATCCTGACAGAAACCATGAAGGATGAAGATCAAGGAGTGAAGATAGGGATACACTGAAAGACAGATTAAGAATTTGGGAAAAAAGGAGTTGACATTGATGCACAGAGGTCAAGAAAGTAGAGAGACATCAATCATGGCAGTCAATTTAAGAAGAGAAAAATAAAAATGTTAACAATAATCTTAAATAAAGTTGAGAATAATCGAGGAAAGCAAAATCTAGTTAAAAAGGTCTGATATTAAAAAATAAACAAAAGACAATAATTCAGATTGCTACTGTCAAAAGTATAGCATAATAAAGAAATCATATGTGTTTGGGGAATGAATAAACAGAACACGTTGTACTCTTGTAATAATGTTAATTATTTCCAAACAAATTAATATATTTGTATATTTCCCCATTTAAAATTAAATTTGCATTTTTATTTTGTTGTTTGATAGCTTCTCTTTTAATTTGGATCTATCAAATTATACCTTATTAAACATTGCAAAGTAACTCAAGACTACTGGAAGCATTCCAAAAATAAATAAATGAATATGATTGAAAGATAAATCAGAAAATAATGGACCATTTATAATGTGTATAATATTGAAGCCTAAATAATTATAGTTATTTAACTGAACTCGTGGTTATACAATGTATTTAATATTTTATTCATAAGAGCAGTAAAGAAGTGTATTTGATTGAGGCATTGCTAGAATCTTTGAGTCTTTGAGTGGCTCCCATTGTTTAGTTCAGAAGAAAGATGAGTCCTTGGGATGCTCTGTGATCTTCATAAATTAAATATTGTTG